CGAGCTTGTGATTACACGGGTCGTTACTTTCTCCGCAGCGATGACATGGCAGTTTTGTTTGCAGTGTGAGTCTGAACTCATAGTGTATCTAGAAACGTGTCCATTGTCTCACCCTATGTGAGTTTGGTATCAGAGATGTCTGCAATAAACATGTCGCCGCCTGCCCACGTACACCTTGCACGCAGAGCTGAGCTGTGATCTGTAAACATGCCATCCAACCATGTGCTTTCGTTTGCCTGCGTTTTTGCACAAGTTCTGCAGGTAAGGCGCTGCCCATGTAGTTGCATGTTGTCCATTGCAGATAAAGGTCCTAAGTCGGCCTTCGCCATGACTCTCGTCCAACATTATGAGGCGGAGTTCCTTCTTCCTGCCCTTTTCCATGATGATACGCATCAAGAGCACTGGGAGCAATTTGCTCCAGAAAAACAATCGGATTCCTGCACACACCATGAAACTCCTCTCCGACCTAGGCAGACAGTGGGGCGTCAATATGCCCATTGAGAGCGTCAGCCGGAACTATTTGGCGCTCAGTCGGTCCATTCAGCTGCGCATTGCTTCTGCGACTGTGCTTGGGTCTGTCAGCAAGCAGTTTCTCAGGTGTGTCACGCTTGTCACATGTGACTACTACTTCTTAGACTTTCATACGGTGAAGCCTGTCAGTGACCGGGATGAGGGATTGTTTGCTTGTTATGAGTCGCATGAGCTCTACCGCGCGGAGATGGAGTCTAAGTATACACGTTATCTGGAGCTTCGATAGGCGTCTCACCCGCTTCTAGGAACACCACTTTGATGCTTCTGACTGATGTCTTAGGGAAACAGCTGTTAGAGACACTGCGGCGTGTGGATGTTTGTGAGTGCATACCATCATGTTGCGTACAGCCTGCACGCAGCATTACATCAGTTGGTTGCAGATTTTTGTCCAAGCGATTGTTTTGACATGTTTTGACGCGTTGTTGCCTCTTTTCCGTAAGTGCGTGTTGAGAATGTCCTGTTGTGAAGCAGGTTGTTTTTTGCAGAAGCGCTATGAGTACAGTTCCACTATATAGGTTATAGGCAGAGCTTTGTGAGTATTGTTGGATCGAAAGAGCCGATCTCCGCTGAGACTGGACAAGCATCGACGAAAGAAGCCAGAGCCCCCCGAGTCTTGTGTTATACATGTGAAGCCGCCGCTACCTAGAAGGAAGCCAGTGGCAGGCGATTCAGTGTCACAGTCAGCCCGGACTTCATGCGCCCGTAATTCTGTTTCTGATACAGGATCATGCGCTGCTTCCGCAGCCCTGCAAGTGTACCTGACTAGCCAGGTGTATCCTGAGGTTCTGCCCTCTGTTTCTACTGTGGTCAGTGATGCTTCTAGATCTGATCCAGCAAAGACAGTATATTTGCCTCCAAGCAGGTGGGTTGGCAGCGTGTATCATCCTGCAGGACTTATATATGGTCAAGACAGATCTCAGCTGGCTCCGACCTATGACACCTCGCACACCTTGCAGACAATGGATACAGCGGCGGCTCAGCAACAACCTATATTGGGCGGGCAAGCTGATGCTGCAGGCGCCTCCCCGCTGCAGACACAGGTAGTACCCCCATATCCGCTGACTGCAGCACAAACTTTGAGTTCTGGCGATGGTGGTGATGGTCCTACGCCTGCTGGTCCTGTCATGTCTGGTAAGAGTGCTAACTTGCCTAGACTAGGAGCTTGCAGTAAAGCCTGTGGACCTCCTCCTCCTGGTTTGGAAGATCCTCCAACTACGAATGCTGATTCAGTAGCGCGTAGGAATGATTCTGCTCTAACCGGCCAAATCGGCACGGACTTTGCCTCTGTCGTAGCTGCAACGCATACTGCTAGCAAAGCGGTGACTCCGGGAGATCCTCACGCAGATGAGATTCTGATGAAGTCAAAGCTCACGTTGCTTGATGAGGATAGTCTGTATCAGCTGCTAGTGCAAGATCAGCACCAAAAAAAGTCTTATGTTTGGAGCCTTCTCCTCCAACACGACCAGATGCAGATGTCAGCAATTCCTCGCTCTTAGGGCCTTCGCCAGAGTCAGTGGGCAATATTTCCAGCGATTTGGAATCTACACAACTAGACACTGGGGGCCACGTCTTTCATTTAGCCAACACTGGGGGCCACGTCTTTTATTTGGCCAATGTTCGTGGGGCCTTACAGATACACGACAGCAGCCAGCCACCACAGCAGCCTGCAGATGAGCCGGCGTATCGGTGTTTGGTAGCAGAGTCTGTGTCCTACAAAGATGTCCATGATATTGTTCAGGCCTTGGAGTCCTCAGACTTGTCTGGTCGCAGCGTATTAGGAGCCGATGGGTTGCTATCAAGAGCATTCACTACAGGAGCCTTTGTCCGAGCTGGAGTAGCAGGATTACATGTTGCTGCGAGAACATACCCATGGCTAACTTGTGTTCTGACGTGCGTAGTTCGACTGCAGTTTCCTGGACTGACTTTTAGTTCTGTCTCTTTGATTTCCAACTGCCAAACATCTTTGCATCGAGATTCTCATAATCATGGATCCATTTGCAACGCTGTAACACCAGCGTCCGCCTTTGAAGGCGGCCAACTGTGGGTAGAGAGCCCACGTGGTCAGACTGCAGTAGATGGCTTGTTGGGTCACGCGCTTGAGATCAAACTCCCGGGGAACAATTCAACGCCAGAAAACGGCATACAACTCTGTCCTGGCTGGGCAGTCGACGAGTCATTGTGGCATATCATATACGTCAGGCATGGAGGCTGAGTGAACGCGATCAACTGGTTGAGCAGCGGGATTTCAGCTTGTGCTGTGTGCTGTTGGCGCGGACCCCTATCAGTAGCCCTAGCTGCCACATGTGTGCACTCGTGGGAAATATGATGTGGGACTGTAGCGATGCTTCAGCTGTGCTTTCTGTGAGTCTGATTTGCTGTCAAGGACTAGGTACGAGCGTAGCTGATCATGGATTCTGCTCATAGTCCGCTAGCGGCACTTGACCGCTGGATTGCGCGTACGCAGCATGAGCTGCTCGGAGTCGCGCATGATCTTGTGGAAGTCAGGAATGAAACTCGAAGCACGTTTACACTGATGCAAGGACAGTTGGATGTTTTGACCCAGCAAATGCAAGATACGCAGGCAGACATTAATCAAATTACAGCGAGACTGGAAACCGAGCAGCTCCTTGCGCAAGAAATGATTCAGTGGGCGCAAGTTCTGTCTGAAGCAGAGAAACCACGCAGCAGACGATGAGAGAGCTGGAGAAGTCACATTTGGAGTTTGCGGCAAGTATTACACTATTACACATCTCTACGGCAGGGTGGTGCGATTGGCATCCACGGGTATGGACACCTGTGGATCCACACACCCAAGCGCTGATACCTCTGGCCAACGACCTCAGCTAAGCAACAGTAGCCTAGTCCAGGGTGAGCGCAGCCGTGCTTGTATCTTTGTTGACCTAGGACGCACCATCGAGTTGGATACTCCGTAGCTGCCTCTGACTCTATCTTGAGTTTTTGGATATGCGAAATCGCTTTGCGACGCTGAGAGCATTGACGATCGCTTTGGATCTCAAAACGCGGACGTTTTTTGCTGTTTGCTTTACGTTTGTGCAGCGAGGTCTTTTTCCAGGTTGTCTGATGTGATGCTTGAAGTGTGCTTTGGCTCTGCAAGGAGTTTAGCTTTTCGACTGTGTCGTAGGGCTATGGATCTTCCTGATGCAGTGGTTGCTAGAACAATTTCATGCCTAGCTCGACGCTATGTGCAGGTGTGCTTCAGCATTACTGATATGATACCGAATGCTTCAGACCGTGAACATGAAGATCAGTCTGCTGTAGCTTCTGATGAGGAGTCAGGAGATTCCGCTACACGTGAGTTCTTGTTTGGTAGTTGGGTGCCTTGTGGGGCTACGAGCGAGAGTTGGTGCCCGGGATCCATCCATGCA